TCCTGCCTATGCAGGGGGTCGGACTCGATGATCTATTGAGGTCCCTTCCAACCCTAGCATCTATGAATCTATGACAGAAGCTGTTTAGCTATGCCTTACAACTGGATAACCAGTTATCATCAGATTATCATCAAATCTATTTATCTATCATCGTTTTAACTAAAATGGTACTGATATGTTGTCCAAAAATTATATTAAATAAAAATGTTTCAGTTATATAAGTTTGCAAAGTGGATATGGACTGTCTTTGCCCTAATAGCCCTCTCAGGGAAACGCCCTTTTCTCAAAGCCACACTGTCCCAATAATTAAATTGCTCGATTGTGTCAGTCACAGAGCCCCTAAATGTAGCCGTCCTTTTCTCTTAAGACTGTTCCCCCTCTCCCCCTTATAATCACAAACAAGTTACCATGAGATGAACTAGGGTGGGAACTTATAGTACCTTAGCTGCTAAACAGTAACATACCTTTACTCCACTATAAAAACTAGTCCTACAGTAAAAGCAGGTTCACATCCACCTTGTATTTACTCTTGCGTAAGAACATGCACAAAGCCAGTTGTGGAATAGCTAATATTAGTTGTTAGTTAATTGATAACTGTGGAAAAACTAATATTCTGTTAATGCCTTCTCTTTGGGGAACTTGTTTGCACACACATACTGTAGGGCAGTGATTCTACAAAATGCCATGAAATCCTTTTAATGGTACCACACAATATGAGCACTGTTAGGTATGAAAACACGTACATGTGATTCACAAGATAAACCCAGAAATTTCAAAGAGGAATCCATAGTATTAAAAATATTCTGACCTATTTTGGCCTGAGTTCTTTGAAACACAAGAATTAGTCTTTTATTTTTCCATAATAAAAAAAATGAGTGCTAGCATTTTACAGGGGGTGCCTTGGGACCAGTGAGGATGAAAACCACAGATCTAGGGCAGTGGTTTTCAACCTTTTTGTATTTGTGGACCCCTAAAGTATTTTGAATGGCAGTGTGAAACTCTTTGGAAATTTTGAACGGAGGTCTTTTGAACTGTAAGTGTGGATATTCCATTCTTTGTATTGATCATACTCATCTTTCACAGACCCCTTAGATATAGTCTGTGGACACCCGTGGCGCACAGTTGAAATTGACAGCCCTACAGAATGACTTTGTGATAGCTGCTCTGTTGTATTTAAAGTCATATGAGTAAAAATGTGTTCTAAAATTTATTGTGTGGGTTTTGTTAGTTATACTGAGGAAGACAAAGTGTGCAAGTACTTATAGTTGTTTTGCAAATGTAGTTATGCTATGCTGAAGAAGACTCCCATAATACTTGGTGTTTATAATAAAAAAATATATAGCTAAACCTTAGGATTTCCAAGAGCATCCCCAGACTGGTCCTAAAGAAATAACAACATATTCTAGTTCTTTAGCTGTATGGTCCCTCCTGAATCCATCAAATACAACACTATTAAAAAAAGCCAGCATGTTCAAAAGACTGTTCAACTGTCACTCAAGTTTGCTGCAGGGCACTTTCAACTGTTAAAAAACCTGAGAATTCAAGAAAAAATCCTTACATTTTACATAGAAAATCAGTAGTTGGAGATCCTGTGCTCTTATTCAATCATTGAAACATTGCTAAATGACTTCACCCAGGCCAATTACTGCTGGACAATGGATAGAACGCTGCCAAACTCTGTAGGATAGATGGAGCACAATAATTCCTCCAGACACGGAACTTAAGAAATGGGTATTTTACCCTGGTGATCAGTCACTCTGAACAGATACTGGTACTCCTCTGCAGAATATTATATATTTTGCTGATCAATACTAAGCTGCAGTCATCCTGCGTGACTAGCTACGTGACTAAACTGTATAAGATTAAAGTTATATTAGCCAAAATGAAATATCAAGGATTTGAGTTTTAATCCTCATGGGTAGAATGAGTCAAGTGTTGGAATAGGTCAGTTTTTAACAAATTATAGATTATTTACATGGCTTGACAATATGACATATCTACGCAGATTTTCTAAGATACTTTAAATCTTCACCTGAAAAGATAAAAGCAAACTGATTTCTCTGACCAATAAGGGGAAACCAATAAAGGATGATGCAAAGAAGGCTTTGGTGTTTAATGTCTTTCTTACTTCAGCCTTTACAAAAAAATGTCGGGCTTCCAATGACAAACACAATTAGCAGCAAGGATGGGGATAGGTAATTATCCTTGCGTAGCAAAAAAACAGGCTGGAGATTTACTTAAACAAGTTGAATTTTTTTCAAGACATCATTGATGGACGAGATTCTTAGGATAGAGTGACCATAATAATTTTAGTGAAAACCAAGATGGGGAGACGGATGCCAGGATCTGCACCACACACACATTTGCTGGGGCACAGAGTGTGTATTTGGGGGGGGGAACTGGGCAGAGCTGGAGCCATTCTGGTATTCCTCTATGAGTGTAGGTGGCAGCAGGCAGGCCCGGAACAAATGTCAGGACACATTAGGGAGCATAGTGCTTTTGTCCCCAGAGCTGGGGCTGTGGGTTGGGGCTGGGGGCAGGAACCCAGCTGGGCTG